AGGGTGACACAACACATTGCCAGGGTGACACAACACATTGCTATGATAACACAACACATTGCTAGGGTAACACAACACATTGCTATGATAACACAACACATTGCTATGGTAACACAACACATTGCTATGGTAACACAACACATTGCTATGATAACACAACACATTGCTAGGGTAACACAACACATTGCTATGATAACACAACACATTGCTATGGTAACACAAACACAATTGCTATGGTAACACAACACATTGCTATGATAACACAACACATTGCTAGGGTAACACAACACATTGCTATGATAACACAACACATTGCTAGGGTAACACAACACATTGCTATGGTAACACAACACATTGCTAGGGTAACACAACACATTGCTATGATAACACAACACATTGCTATGGTAACACAACACATTGCTATGGTAACACAACACATTGCTATGATAACACAACACATTGCTAGGGTAACACAACACATTGCTATGGTAACACAACACATTGCTATGATAACACAACACATTGCTAGGGTAACACAACACATTGCTATGATAACACAACACATTGCTATGGTAACACAACACATTGCTATGGTAACAACACATTGCTATGATAACACAACACATTGCTTGGGTAACACAACACATTGCTAGGGTAACACAACACATTGCTATGATAACACAACACATTGCTATGGTAACACAACACATTGCTATGATAACACAACACATTGCTAGGGTAACAAACACATTGCTATGATAACACAAACACATTGCTATGGTAACACAACACATTGCTATGATAACACAAACACTTGCTAGGGTAACACAACACATTGCTATGATAACACAACCATTGCTATGGTAACACAACACATTGCTATGTTTAACACAACACATTGCTATGATAAACAAACCCATTGCTATGGTAACACAACACATTGCTATGATAACACAACACATTGCTATGATAACACAACACATTGCTATGATAACACAACGCATTGCTATGATAACACAACACATTGCTATGATAACACAACACATTGCTAGATAACACAACGCATTGCTATGATAACACAAAAACATTGCTATGATAACACAACACATTGCTATGATAACACAACACATTGCTATGATAAACACAACACATTGCTATGATAACACAACACATTGCTATGATAACACAACACATTGCTATGATAACACAACACATTGCTATGATAACACAACACATTGCTATGATAACACAACGCATTGCTATGATAACACAACAATTGCTATGATAACACAACACATTGCTATGAAAACAAAACACATTGCTATGGTAACACAACACATTGCTATGATAACACAACACATTGCTATGATAACACAACACATTGCTATGATAACACAACGCATTGCTATGATAACACAACACATTGCTATGATAACACAACACATTGCTATGATAACACAACACATTGCTATGATAACACAACGCATTGCTATGATAACACAACACATTGTTGAACTCTCTGGTGAAAGTTGAAATATGAATTCTGATAAATATTTGTTAATTCAACCCGCCGAGTAAGATGCCTCGACACCAGTGAAGGTTTCTCGCGGATTCACAGCTCCTTAATTTGTATTGGGGGTTTTAGGTTTGAACATATTGATTTACACCTGTTTCCCTTGTTCACCTAACAGTAAGTAGGTACCTGAGCGTTAGCCGATTATTGTGGGTCGCGGAATAATCGGCTAACAACATTTAAGGACTAGAATAGAAATAAGACAGACAGTCTCCTATGACACACTGATTTTCTTGGGTTATCCTCAGAGGTTAAAAATCCGACCAAATCTTATCTTTACGATGTCGCAAGAACTACGGGAGGAAGAAATTTGATTTTTAATATAATTTACTGGTTTATGTATGTGTTGTGTCACCCTGACAATGTGTTGTGGTACCCTGACAATGTGTTGTGGTACCCTGACAATGTGTTGTGTTACCCTGACAATGTGTTGTGTTACCCTGACAATGCGTTGTGTTACCCTGACAATGTGTTGTGTTACCCTGACAATGTGTTGTGTCACCCTGACAATGTGTTGTGTTACCCTGACAATGTGTTGTGTTACCCTGACAATGTGTTGTGTTACCCTGACAATGTGTTGTGTCACCCTGACAATTTTTTGTTGTCACCCTGACAATGTGTTGTGTTACCCTGACAATGTGTTGTGTTACCTGACAATGTGTTGTGTTACCCCGACAATGCGTTTGTGTACCCTTGACAATGCGTTGTGTCACCCTGACAATGCGTTGTGTCACCCTGACAATGCGTTGTGTCACCCTGACAATGCGTTGTGTCACCCTGACAATGCGTTGTGTCACCCTGACAATGCGTTGTGTTACCCTGACAATGCGTTGTGTCACCCTGGGACACATGCGTTGTGTTACCCTGACAATGCGTTGTGTCACCCTGACAATGCGTTGTGTTACCCTGACAATGTGTTGTGTTACCCTGACAATGCGTTGTGGTACCCTGACAATGTGTTGTGTTACCCTGACAATGCGTTGTGGTACCCTGACAATGTGTTGTGGTACCCTGACAATGTGTTGTGTTACCCTGACAATGTGTTGTGGTACCCTGACAATGTGTTGTGGTACCCTGACAATGTGTTGTGTTACCCTGACAATGTGTTGTGTTACCCTGACAATGTGTTGTGGTACCCTGACAATGCGTTGTGTCACCCTGACAATGTGTTGTTTGGGACCCCGACAATGTGTTGTGGTTACCCTGCAATGCGTTGTGGTACCCTGACAATGCGTTGTGTCACCCTGACAATGTGTTGTGTCACCCTGACAATGTGTTGTGTTACCCTGACAATGTGTTGTGTCACCCTGACAATGTGTTGTGGTACCCTGACAATGTGTTGTGTTACCCTGACAATGTGTTGTGTTACCCTGACAATGTGTTGTGTTACCCTGACAATGTGTTGTGTTACCCTGACAATGTGTTGTGTTACCCTGACAATGTGTTGTGTCACCCTGACAATGTGTTGTGTCACCCTGACAATGTGTTGTGTCTCCCTGACAATGTGTTGTGTCTCCCTGACAATGTGTTGTGTCACCCTGACAATGTGTTGTGTCACCCTGACAATGTGTTGTGTCTCCCTGACAATGTGTTGTGTCTCCCTGACAATGTGTTGTGTCACCCTGACAATGTGTTGTGTCACCCTGACAATGTGTTGTGGTAATATAATTTACTGGTTTCTATATGTGCTCTAGATGTGCGTATTAAATACCACAAACATTAATGTATACTCTCTCACATATGCTAATGTTTTTCGTACATAAAATGAAATTAAATCCAAAACAAACAATAAATATGAATAATGAAGTAAGTTATATAGTTAATTATGTTGCCATTATGTTTATAAATGACGAACGTAAATATTACTTAAAATTATACATGGGATATGTACATAGAGAAGTGTATTTCAGCGTATATCTCTGGCAACGACTTGCAACATTGACCAGTCACACGGAAGCACGAAGGGAAGGAGGTTACTATATATGCGACGGTGGGGAGAGGCCGGGACTAGAACGAGAGGAGGTAGTAGTATAATGGTAGTAGTAGTAGATAGCCCAGGCAACCGTGCTGACTACTGGCTGAGATAACTTGCAGGATCGTAGTTTTATAAATCACTGAACGGGTGGGGGTTCGAACCCATGGAATGAGTGATGTATCTGAGCGGCTTCGGAAAATAAGTGGAGTTCCTCAAGGATCCATTCTTGGTCTGACATAGATTAAAAATCGCAAAAAATTCTTGAACGATGCAAAATTCCTATGGGAGAAAGAGAACTTGCTTAGGTAAGTGTTATCATCGTTCCGAGGACCCAGGAAAACATAAGTAACACCTTGGAAACGTAAAAGATTATTATTATTATCACTGTGGTATACCTGAATGTAATCTACATCCAAGTACATGTGAGTGCTTGGAGATTGTGCAACTACATGCATTATAACAGACAATATAATTTTCCTACTGACACACAAGACTAGCCAAAAACACAGAAATAAGAAGGAATTTTCAGTCTTAAGGAAAGTGTTGTTACGGCTGATATTAACTTGGCCAGGAGTTAGTACCCCACCCTACATCCTATCCTTCCTTGGCCTGGTGATCGTACCCTCCTACCCCCGTACATTGTCCTCGGACAGGAGCAGGTATCCCCCTTCCTCAACTGGGACTAACTGGTCCAGGACCTCTCCCACACAACCCAGTGTATATAAGCCACAGTTATCGATCAGCACTCACAACTTCTTCAGCTGCAGGTAAGACCTCAACAATTACCTTCAAGATGCTGTAGGACGGACAGCTTCGAGTTCACCACTTCCGGGGAATATAATAATAATAATAATAATAATAATAATAATAATAATAATAATAATAATAATAATAATAATAATAATAAAAATAACAATAATAATAATAATAATAATAATAATAATAATAATAATAATAATAATAATGAAGGAGGGGTAGGGGTTGTCCTCGAAAAGGTTGGAGAGAGGGGTAAAGGAGGTTTTTTGGGAGAGGGTCTAGGACTTCCAGCAAGCGTGTGTGAGCGTGTTAGATAGGAGTGAATAGAGACGAATAGTTTTTGGGACCTGACGAGGTGTTGGAGTGTGAACAGGGTAATACTGAGTGAAGGGATTTAGGGAAACCGGTTAGTCGGACTTGAGTCCTGGAAATGGGAAGCACAATGCCTGCACTTTAAAGGAGGAATTTAGGATATTGAAAGTTTGGAAGGACTGCTAAACTGTTGTATCTGGGCGCCTCTGTAAAGACAGTGATTATGTATGAGTGTGGTGAAAATGTTGAAAGATGATGAAAGGATTTTCTTTCTTTTTGAGTCACCCTTTTTGAGTCACAACAACAACAACAACAACAATAATAATAATAATAATAATAATATTAATTAAGTAAAAGTTACTAAAGGCTGGCTGTTTCTGATGT